GCACGGATAAATTTGCTTACCCCACAAATAGGCCCATCTATGTAAAAAATTTAGAAAAAGTTCCATCGATTCACACTTTATATCATTGCTATGATATGTAGTGTCACATCACCTGGCCCTAACATAATGCTTTAAACCATAGGTCTTCAACCCTGCTCCTGGAGGCCCACTGCACTGTCCTGCAGAGTTTTACTCCAACCCTAATCAAACACACCTGAACCAGCTAGTCAAGCTCTTCGGGATCGCTTGAAAATCACAGACTGAAGCAGGTTTGATATAAACTCTGCAGGGCACTGGGCACACATTTGACAAGCTAGTTGATAAAAATCAACAACCGATCAAGACTGATTGGCTAATGCTATTTTCCCACTTGTCTGTGCTCTTTTATTCTTTCATGTTAACTGAAGGCAAATCTGAATAACTTTATTTATCCAGGCCTCTAAATTTAACTTTAATCAACAAGTAGAATTGATCATGACATCCTCACCTTATTCCAGAATAATCGCTGATCCAAAGCTGAGTTGTACTGCAGCTCACATGCATGAATGTTGGGGTTGGGGGAGGGGCATGTCTGAACTTGTTGATGCATGACACCAGTAGTACCCTGATAAAGAGGTTTACTGGCAAAAAGTATTTCATGCATTTTGAAAATACAAAAATACTCATCTTAAATGTATTTAAACAAAAATTAGGCTACATTTGATTTTCCAAAAGGCTTCAAAATACAACATAGTATTTTGTATTTCAAATACATATTTTAAATACATGTATCTGAAATACTGCCCATCCCTGCATGTATGTTTGTTAATCCAACTTTATACGGTCAACAGGTTAGGGTGTGACACTGCTCGTCGGATTTTATTTATTATACATTTTGAAAAGACAAGAGTGAAGAACAATGGAATTATGCACCAAAAATGTGAAATATAGTAGACTACGAAAAAACAAAAACAAAAAAACATGTGACGGACAAGAATGCTTCAGAATCAAGACCGTATATCAATCTGACTAGCATTGTAGATATCTTCAATACATATTATGACTAGTACAGACAAGGGCATTCAATGCTAATACGGCTTGCCATAGTAGCCTATAAAGACGCGTAACAGTATGCACGACTGTAGAATAAGATCCTCTTCACACAATAAATTGCATAGCACTGTACATCTGTAATAAACTGCTATTCAGTCACATGTCAAATGAATTACATGGAACATTTTGTTATTACATATTGTAACCACGTTGACTATGTTGGTACAGCATTGGGCGAGTCTTCATGTGGAAAGATGTCTCCCTCCAGGGGTCACATGAAGGCTCAGACAGCAGGTTGTGTTGCTCTTTGATACAATTAAAATATTGTGTTTTTAATTTAATAATTCCTCTTAGGATTGTCTGTAAAAGCCATAGACAGTAAAAGAAAAAGCTCTCCAGCAATCTCTAAAAATTATTCAATAGATAACGTTCTACTGTGATTGGATCATCCTCTTCAGCGTAGAGAAAAGTAACAGGTACACACGTGATCCTCTGTTACTTCATCTGCTGTGCAGTGGGCACCTGAAAAAAGATTATGAGAAATTAATTACCAGTACCACTAAACCGAAAATAAATGAAAATAACTAGAAAATTGTTAGGTGTATTTATTTAAACTCATCGTATCTGACCAATCAGAGGACCCGTCCATTTCATTAACTTTAGTGATGACCGCACTTCTTAAAGTTAGCCGCCAGATGGCAGTCGTGTTACATTGGGCGCATGCGGTTGCAGTTTACCGCAGTCCTTCGAGTTCCAGGCAAGTCACTTTAGTACATTTTCCCGCCGATATTGTACAAATGCTTTATTATACACTTTATTAATATTTATTATACAGTTACAAATGCTTTATTTAGATATTATTTAGTCATAAGACTTTCAGCATTGCCACTCACTGGTGTGAGTCACATAATGGTATCATTACACTCTCCTGATGTATGAATTAAAACAACAACATAGTGCCATCACATGACAAATAGGATAGGAAGAACAAAATATCATGAAAGCACCATCCAGCTAACAAATGCTCTAAGAACGTTTTACCGTACTAACATTCCCATTAAGTTATGAAAACATTATATCTGAATGTTCTCAGAAGAAAAACGTCCTTTTTAAAAAATGTTTAAAAAACGTTTTCTTGGTTATACGAAAGTTTAAGGAAACATTCCATTTTGCAAACATTATGAGAACGTTCTGAAACAAGTATTAACATTTAAAGAACATTATTAAAGACCAGAGAATTTTGAACGAATATTCTATTAACGTTACTGGAAGAACGTTTTTGAGAGAACCTTGCCAGAACGTTAACCAAAGTTAAGAACGTTCCCTGTTTAACGGGCCCTCTTCTAATACCAACTTAAATTTTAAGTTAATTTTAAGTTTAAGTCAAGTTAATTTCTTGCTTCATAAAACTTTTAACAAGGACTATATTTCAGTTTTCTTCCATTTTAGTCATCTACACAATTTGCATCATGGACTCTCTCAATTCTGGACAACAGGGAGAAAAACTAAAACTGAGGTCAGTTATTTGTCATGTCATGAGCCCAAAACAATTATGTCATGAGTTTTTGTTACATAAAAGTGAGAAACTATGCCAACTGTGAAGCTTATTGTGTTTTCTCCTTTAGCCATGCCCTTTGCCTTTGTTAGTACAGAAGACAAATTCACCCTCAAAAGTATCTCAAAAATCTTGGAGCGGCTTGAAATCCTGGAGGAAATCACGATCCCTCATCCCACTTAATGTTGAGCTGACTTTAGTCTGTACTCCCGAATAAACCTCAGTGTCACCACAAACCATAAGGCCTATAACCACTCCCTTGTTTGTCCAAATGTATTGCCAAAGAAGAGGCCTGGTTGGAACCATGGAGCTTATGGGTTTAGTGCGAATATTTAGTGTAATTAAAAAGATTGATGTTCATGGCATGTAAAGTTCACCTAATAGACCAAGACAAGCTGTTTCTACAAAGACTTTAAGTACTAGGCCTACATCAAAAGCGCACCCCGCACACTGAGAACAAAATGTTTATTATTAGACAGTTTGTGGTCCTGTTATTTATGCAAGTATGGTATCAAACATGTGCTATTCCATAAAGTTACACACAATTAGACACCGCAAATTTATATATGGTACGTTGTAATGCAATCGGTATGGCAGAACGTTCTGAAACTAACAGAACTAGACCCTGCTGTTTTCAATTAAACTGGCAGGCTGAAAGGTATGTCCGGCCGCCTCAGAACGTACAGTCGGCCAAGCAAGAGTAAAAGATGAGCTTGGCTGCACTTACATTTTATATGTGTACTTTCTAGGTTTCTATTTTGAACCTAAAAATGGAATTTAAAACAAAAATAGGTTTTAAAGTTTGTCAGGACAACCTCAGTGGAAAAATCTTGACATTTGAAGATTTAGGCCTTATGAAGTTTGAAAACATGAGAATTTTTTCAGTTTGAATGTTATTATTGTGTAGTTGCATTACTGTTGCTAGGGTGTTCTGAGTTTTTGGTATGGTGCTTTGGGTGGTGTTTCTATTCTCTTTGCAGTTGCTAGGGTGGATGATAGATAGATAGATAGATAGATAGATAGATAGATAGATAGATAGATAGATAGATAGATAGATAGATAGATAGATAGATAGATAGATAGGTAGATAGATAGATAGATAGATAGATAGATAGATAGATAGATAGATAGATAGATAGATAGATAGATAGATAGATAGACATAAACAGAATTACTGATGACTAACAGTGATGTATTTATCAGTTTATATTGGGAAATAAACAACGTAGAACCACTACGGTAAGTTAAAAAACTTTTCAAACACTTTACTTTTGAGACATCATAGTGTAATCATGTTGGTCGCTGGTGGTTCATCCAGGCTATAAAGCTTGAGGCAGAGTTTCAGTTGAAAACTAAGTGTTTTACTGAGTTATTAAACCTTCTTCAAAGTCTCATTTCATGACTGAAGAACATTCAAGTTTACAAGAGCCAGATTTCAATAAGGTCATATTTGATCATCCAAATAAGGAATGAAAGAAATGCCAACAAATTTACCTTGTAAGATTTTTTAATGCCTTTGAAAATGTGCAATTTTTTTATTTTTTTTACATACGATAGTAAATAGCAAATAATTCCTAATTCCTTTTATGCTACATAACCACACCTTGTCCTTGATGCACTATAGCCCAGATTTAACTAAAACCTTTTTTTAGAGTAAAGTGCAAATACACAGTTCACATTTTTTTTATTTTTGCCTTTCTCTTCAGCCACATGTGGTTGGCAGACTTGAGTGTAAGCATGTGTTTTCATTTAGCCCTTCAAATAAATAGGAAACTCTGAGAACAGAAGAAAAAGTGAATCTAATTAACTCGTTTTAATTTCAGACTCTTTTAAGGCTTTCATTTGTCAATCAGAGGGAGTCAGTTTGCACTGGGGAATTATGTGAATATGTTAACCGACATTTATGTCAACACTTTACAGAAAACACTGATAAACAGTCAGGTGGCTTGCTGTTGATATTTACTGGCCCACAGCAGAAGACTATGTACAGTTACTGTAAAGGTTCCAGAAAACAGTGCTCCATTTATACGAGCTGGCTAACTTCCCGTAATGGAAAAACGCTGTCGGAAAAAAGAATAATGGAAAAAAAGTTAAGATCCTGCTGGAGTAGAATGAATGGTCTTAATTTATTCCAGTAGGGTTAAACTTGATAGATTTTCTTGTGCTCCAAAACAGACTTGATTTCACTCTTATTTTCTGATAAATATAAAAGTGTTTGCTGTATCTAAATCGCATATGAGTACTTTTGGGGTTTTAGTTCTAGTCAGGAATAACCCTGGGTGATATACGACATGCTGAACCCCATCTAGAGCCATTTGATCATTTCAAATTATATAAAAAATTAAAAAAGAGTTATATATATATATTAATATAATCTATTTGAAGTTTCAAAAAATCCATTTGTCTATTGAGGTAAATGCAAAATGGTGTTTAAAATGAGGGAAACATTTTAAAGAAATGCTGACCAGTTACAGAACTTACAATTTCCATTACATATTTTAAGCTGAATGAGTGTATGGACACATATGCATCATCCAGCCATATACTTACTGTATTAAATGTTTATTTTAGAGTAAACCTGTAAAATTAGTGTATCTGATTTTCGCAATCATGGCTCATAAATACAGTTCACTTAAAAAAAACAACTGTTTGGCATGAGTTACAATAGCAAAAACGAATAAAATAAATATATACGCTGAACCATCATTCTTTGGGTGTCAGTTACAGTGTCCTTTTCACAGTTTATTTAAATGTTCACCACTTGTGAAAGAAATTGTCTATGGGCCTGTGCTTAAGGCTTCTGCTAGATGTCAAGATCATCCGGCCTGGCCCGACTGCTCGCTCGACTACTGGGTCGAGGTTCAAGCTCTTTGAGCAGCAGAAGATCCTTCCCCAGAGTTACTTTCTCAGGATATGGAAAGCGCTGGGTATGACCCAGCTGATTCTGTTCTGTACTGTAGTTAGTCCAGTTCTGCTCATTAGCCTGCTTGTCGTAATTGTCAGAGGAGTTGGACTTGTCGCCCCTATCTAGGTTGTACCCCAGATTAGGGACGGGGGCCGAGCAGTCGTTGTAATAGTCGTAACTGGACAGGTTCCTTGGGCAGGGCTTGATATTACAAGTGCTGTCAAAGTTTTTCGCAGACTCTCTGATTTGGTCCTTCATCCTCTTGAGAATCACGTAAAAAAACTCAAAGACGTTGAGGGCCAGAGAGACCAGCGAAACAACCAGCATGAAGATAATAAAAACCGTCTTCTCAGTGGGACGAGAGAGAAAGCAGTCCACTTTATGCGGACAAGGGAACCTTTGACACGTATAGACTGCTGACAGCTTGAATCCGTAAAGGTGCCACTGTATCAACAGGAAAACAACTTCAAATACAGACTTTAACACGATGCTCATTATATACGTGTAATATATCCCTCCTCTCATTTTGATCTTCCCGTGATCTTCCAGGCCGTACTTGAACTTACTCGTTTCGATTTTCCGCAGGAGCACATCCACATCTCCGCCTTTGCTCTGGATGTCTCTTAGTTTCTCCTCCTTTTTATTTAATTTCTCCTCCTTGTGCATGAGGAACACGATGTGGCTGAGGTACAGGAGAGTCGGCATGGACACAAATATGATCTGCAGCACCCAGAAGCGCACGTGGGAAATGGGGAACGACTTGTCGTAGCACACGTTCTCGCAGCCGGGCTGCAGCGTGTTGCACTTGAACGCCGACTGCTCGTCTCCCCAGGCGGACTCCACCGCCGTCCCCAACACCAGGATCCGGAAGATGAAGAGGACGGAGAGCCAGATTTTGCCTCCTGCCGTGGAGTACGCCTGGACCTTGTCAAGAAGTTTCCCCAGTGCACTCCAGTCACCCATGATGAAAGATTGAGCAGCAGATGACCAACCTTCAAGCTGAAAAGGAGAGTAAATTCAATGAGTGTTATAAACACAGATGAACCCTGGTGTTATACACATCCGAGTGGTCTCCTCGCTCCCCATATCACTGCCAAATACAATAACACAAGTCCTTGGCTCATCTTCAGAAATGTTCATGGGTCAATCTCCACTCTGAATGAATGTTCTGGGGTTTTCTCTTTTCAGCAGCTAACCTAAAAACAAAAGTTGCTTTTTTAACTATATAAAAATCAAAACAAAGGAAATAGGCTAAAACACATATACTAACTAAAGGACAACATATTTTTTAAAAATAAAAGTATATTCACATAATCAAAAATAGTCTTTTCTGGAATGCAAACTACTCAGGATCAACACTTTTATCACATTTCAGCAGATATTGAAATTACTTAAAAACAAAACTAACTTAGTTATATATTTCGAAAAACAAGGATCCAGGCTACAACCAAACGAACTAAATGACGCCATTAAAAAAATTAAATAGGCTTCAAAAAAACAAAAACATACACATACCTAATCCGCTAGGCTATAACGTTAATATACAAAAAACACCGAGTTTTATCATGCCGTTTTAAGTATAAACATATCTCCAATCCATGTTGTACGAAGCTTATTTCTTACCTGGAAAGTCGTTAAAACCCCAAAACTTCTTGACAGTTACGATGACTATCTGTAACACATTTCAATTATACATTTCCCATCCCAATTATTAATAAGTAACTTAGTTTCGATATCAAATTAAGTTCTCCTACGGCAAATGTTCGGTCATGCCATCCGTCGGAGGGATTGAGTCAGAAAGGAGAAAAGTTAAACGTCAGCTGACTCAAACTTCTGGACTTCGAGAACTTCTCCATCTCCGTTATGTTTTTGAGAGGAAATGGCCTGGAACAAGAGAGTGCTGTGAAGTTGGGAATTACCGCCATCTGGTGTAGAATCAGTAACACGCCACAGAACAGAAGCAAACTGGCTTCAAAATGTTAGGGCTTGTTACTGTTCATCTGTTGTTACCATGACAACGACAGGTATGAAAGCGAGGCTGTGAGGGATAGACTTGGCATCCGCTGTAAAAGCTATGTTCTAAATCACTTTTAGTTTCCACACCTTGTCTTGTCTAGTTTTTTGCTGACTGAAATTTCTTGGAAATATATTTTTGCAGTGTTTCGTCAGCAGAACAATCCAAAAACACATTAAATAACAGTGGCTACAACCCACTAAAGAGATGTATGTTTAGTTCATCCCTCACAGCCTCGCTTTCATTCCCGTTAAAAAATCAAAGATGGCTCTGCTGTGAATAAGGTCCATTTGAAAGAATGAAGTCAGTTTTCAACGGCTTTGGTCAGGATTTTATTTTATTTTAGATTTTATTTTAGAGTTGTTGTTGTTGTTTTTATTTTTTTGTAAATTAGGTAAATTAATGAAAGCATTCCATTTAACAAGCTCAATTTATGTAACAAATAACTATATTTAATCTACAGGGGATTGTGTAGATTAGAACACATTACAGAATAATCTGTATATCAAATGTAGGGCTGTCAAACGATTAATCGCATCCAAAATAAAAGTTTGTGTTTACATAATATATGTGTGTGTACTGTGTATAATTATTTTGTATATAAATGCACACATGTATATATTTAAGAAAAATATGTTATTTATATATAAAATGTTTATATTTATATAAAATATACATTATATATAGGCTACATTCAGTCTATATACAGTATATACATGCAAATATTTCTTAAATACACATGCATGTGTGGGTATTTATGTATTACAAATAATTATACACAGTACACACACATATATTATGTAAACACAAACTTTTATTTTGGATGCGATTAATCGCGATTAATCGTTTGACAGCCCTAATCAAATGTTAATTATATTTCCATTTTTAAAAAAGTGCATTCTATCTTTTTTTATTCAATGAACAGTGAGATTAATGTAAAGACACTAGACAAATTTTGTTTTACTTATTTTATTCTGGAACAAATCACAACACATCTCTTAAAATACTTATCAATTTATTATGTAAAGATATATTATCTATTATGATTAAGCATATTCTACATAGCTATTTCCCAGCACATACTCTTTATATTTTGCAGGATTTAAATGAAGAAACTGATTTGGTCATTGAAAATGCTTGGTTTGTTTTGGGAACCAAGAATTGTTTTTCTCTCGCAACTAAACATTCAAGATCAGGAGGTTCATTTCCTCGGGGTCATGGAGGACCTCAGGGGAAGCTCTCCCTCAACCCAGCAGTTTGGATTGGCCAACATTCTTTTCCATATTTGAACTTCTTCATTCAGTGAATCCATCCAATCAACTTTCTTGCCATAGCTCTTCCCTGCAAATAAATAGAGACACAGTTTAATGAAATGGCTTCAAGAAACCTTCCGTCAGCTTTTAAATCAGGATTCTAGTGTTGTTAAAGTGCAAATACAGGTGCAGTGAAGGAAAGGGTTTTGTTACTGTACCTGTTCCAAGACTGAGGCGCAGACCTCCGAGAAACTGATTAGAGAGTTTGTTGTGATCCCAAACGGTCAATTCGCAGCAGGCCTCACTGACTTCCCCAGCTTTGAACCCGTCATACACCATGGCATGGTTATACACAGGGTCCTGGCTCTTTTTTACAACACGGGTCTTCTGACGGCTTTTCTTTCTGGTGTCCGGTAAAATGTAGCTAAAAAAAAAAAAAAATTAAGAGGTGAATCTCACCGGTTAAGTATGTAATATATTAATTCTATTTTACAAAAAAAAAATATATATATAAAAAAATAATAATAATACATTACTTTTTGTAATGTAATCTCAAAATAACTCATTACAGTAATGAAAATATTTACTTGTGCACATTTTTTTTAAAGTGCTAGAACAGTTATTTTAAACCTTTAAAAATACAACTATATTAAAACTTGATTTGACCATGTGTAAAATGAGGTTGGGAAAATGTTGCCATTTTTACTTTTGTCCTCTAAACCAAACAAAATGAATGAAATGGGTCATCTGTGTTATTTCCTTTCTTCTCATGTCATTTTAATAGATGAAAACAAAACAAAAACACGACACTTCAAACATGACAAAGAGGAAGCGTGAGAGGGAGGGAGAGAGTTAGAGATGGAACAATGGCTTTAGCTGTTTTGAAAGTCAGGTCCGTAACAGATGACAGGCGCACCCTCACCACTTAACAAAAGAATCCACTCCCTGAGGCTTAAGCCCACGTAATTCTTTTGCCTCCCGCAGCCAGACATGAATCTCCCCAGTGCAGTTCTTCGACCCACCTGAAATCAAATAAAGTGTTTTAGAGCAAATACAGTTCGTTAGTCATGAGCAATATTTCTCAAATTAGATGTACAGTATGAAATGAAATACACAGAAGCAACATCAATATTTGAAACTGTACCGGTGGACTCCTGAGGAACATATTTTAGTGAAACTGACAAAAATCCATTAGACTCTTGCGATTCTTGATTCTCTGCAGTCTATAATAATTAAAAAAAGGAATATTCTGTTATACAAGAGGACTAGGTTGACCAGAGACATCACTTTATATGAAAGAAGGCTCTGTTCCTAAACTCTCAATGTTACTTAGCTTTTCTAATCACACAAATATCTTTAGAAGGTGTACCGTTGACTGTAGGTTGTACCAGGTGAGGGCTTCATGTCCCCAGTCCCAGGTCTTAAGACTAATCTCAACCTGCCCCAGGAACACATTTCGGCCCCTGGAGTCATTGTGCCACACGGACAGATTTAGAGTCTTTTCCGGAAGCTCTTCGCGCTTCACTTTGTACTGATTAGAGATTTACAGTACAGATAAGATTAAAATGTTATATCAAATGTAAACATAATATTTCTATCATTTTAGTGTTACAGAGAAACATACTCTCAGAGATTCCACATAAACTGGATTCACGGTCCGTTTCTTAATAGAAGTTTTCCTTTTGCTGCGGCGAGACTTATCTGGATAGAGGTAAGTCTTCACATAACTGTAAAGGAAAGTTTGTTATTCTAGATAGATAGATAGACAGACAGACAGACAGACAGACAGACAGACAGACAGACAGACTTAATGTCATTCATTAGTAGATGTTTTCTTTTAGATTCATAACTCACGGGTCCGTGCGTTGTTTACGAGGATTAGCAAAAGCCAGATCCTGACACTGTTCAATCATAATGATCAGCTCTCCAACAGGGCTGTACATCACTGCAAACTCCACAGAGCCCTGCACCTCAACATTCCCAAAATCCCCCGCATCGCTGTACACGCTCAGCAAACTACTGGTGCGCTTATGTGAGGGGAAAAAATAGCAGGGATAAGTCTCTGGAAGGCTATATTTTTTATTTTTGCACTTTCAATGCCTTCTACTTGGATAGGAAAGTGACTGATGACAGGAAAGGGTGGGAGAGAGACAGGAACATGGGATTGGGAAATGACGCAGATGAATTTAAATGAATACTTGAACCTGCGCCCCACTGGAGCACAACGGCCCTTGTATCATAAGCATGTGCGCCAGACAGCAAAACACCATTTAATGACATTATGCAATGTAGTAATTTCATGGCATACCACTTAAGGTCTATTTAAATGTGTTTCAAAAGTTTTTTCAAATGTTTAATATGCATAAACATCTATTCATTTCCAACACTGTGGCTCTATGGTGCTTTCTAAACAAGTCAACATAATAAACTGTTTATCGGACAATTGACAAGCTTGGCCAAGCAATGGTAAATTGGCCTTTGAACAATGTTAAAAACAGAAAGTGGAAATGAAAATCGTCCAGCTTACATCAGTAAGAGACAATGCGCTAGCTGAATAGCCTTTTCTGCTAGAGAGATCTGACCCATAGCTGGACAGTGAAGTTTCATCATCATCGTCATCTGAATCGACTCCTTCGTCCTGCAACATAGAAGACAATATAAACAAAAACAGCAAAACTTTACTTTTTATAGTCAAGCAACTTACTCTGATCAACACTTCACACTGCAGAGGATGATGAAATGATATTTCAAGTACAGCAAAAGTATGAATTATAATTGTAGGACGAACAGTAGCTCACCTTCCAAGCATCTGCAGTGTAGGAAGGCGTTTTACATGTGGAAGCCTCAAGTAAAGCCTCTAGAACGGACACCCCATGTTTACTTCCTAAAGACATCAAAGAATAAAGCAAAGCTCAAACCAGATATAAATCCATGAAAATCTACAGGGAGAAATCGAACAGGTTAAACCGGAGCTTAGGTGAACATACAATACTGGGTGCGTCTTTCTCGAATATCAGCCCTTAAGGGCACTTCAGAAATCAGACACGCCACTGTATTAACATGGTGACTAAGCCTCTAGTATTAGATATCAGAACCATTTACCTTTCAACTCTGTTGGATCTGGAGATTCAGATGGTATAATGACTATTGTGGGAAGCGTATCATCTCTAATCTCCTGCTTTGGCTCCAGTGCGGTGATCTTCTGCAGGACAGGCGGTCTTGCCCTTTGAGCTCTTGCGAGGACACTCAGTAGAATATCGGCACTGTCCTCCTCATCTTTCAATTCTGAAGAACCTTGACCCAGTCCAGGATCATCTACACTTGTAGATTTAGCTGGTTGAATTGGTTCAACGGATGATTTGTCGATATGTTCAGAGTCAACATCCAATCCAGCATCTTTAATGTGCACTAATTTCCCATCATCTGTCATTGAAAGATACTCTTGGCTTAATTTTCTTAAAACCTGACTTGTGTGGGTTTCTTTTGGGAAGTTCTGATCATTTGATAACTTTATTTTTTCTTTATCTTCATGGGCATCAAGAAGTCTTTGCACAGTTTTGTCACTGACACCTCGTATCGCTTTAAAATCTTTATTCACACTAACATCAGCTGTTTTATTCTGCTCCTTTAAATTAGACGTTTTCTTCTTTCCCATCTCGACTGGGCCGTCATCGCCAGAATCAGTGGAAGCGTCTTTTCCCTGCAGAGTGTTAGAAGGAAATTCATGAGAACTCATTTCAATTTGCCATTTTAATGACTGACTTTGGGATGCTTCTTCAGCAGAGGAATGCTTATTGATTTGTTCCTCACCAGCTACACGCTCAACTATTTGATTCGCATCCGTCTCGGCACGTAAACCAGTGCTTACATTTTTTCCTCCACCTCCCTTCCTGTCTGAACTTGCTTCATCATTAAGAAAATCACTAGAGACCATCCTTCTCTTATCATGCTCATTAGTCGAGTCTGAGGGACTCAGTTTATCCGTTTCAGACTCTCTAAATATAAGTTCAGCTGAACACTGCTGATCTCTGCCTTTGTTATCTTGGAAAGCATTAGAAGACTCATTAGACTTCTCTGAACCTTCATGATCTGAGTGTCTAGTGAATTCTGGTCCATCACTTGTGAAAACTAAGGAAGTCTGTGGTTGAATCTGAAACTTGGTCGATGAACATCTTTCTAAGAATACATCTTGGTTAAAGTCTAGAGATTCAATTTGAAATGATGTCTGATCCATGAAATTTAAAGACGGACTTGATGTGTGCTGCTTCTCTTGGGTCTCTGTGTTCTCAACATGTGATTTTACCTCTTTTAGTTCAGGTTCAACACTATTGCTTTCATCATGCACAGGCTTCACTGCGTTCGGTTCGAGGGAAATCTTCACCCAGTTCTCCTCAAACGATTGATCTTTCTGTAGTGCTGGAGGGAGTGAAACTTTTCGCCTTGGCTCTCGATTTGTTGCATGTTTTGCGGGGCCTCTTTCGGGTTTAGTGTCTTGAACTGCTCTTGAGAAGGGGAAAATGGTTGTTATTCGGTCATCAGAGAGCTGTTTGGGTTGTGCTTCTGTTGAATTGCGTTTTGGGTCATTGCCATTGAGGACATGATTGCCATCAATTTCAGCTTGAAGTTTTATTTTTCTACCAGACACTCTTGGAGTGGATGAAGCCTCTGCAAATACAAACACCAAAACATCACCAAATCAATCTGTTTTTTTTTTTTTTTTCAAATGTAAACCAGCGTTTTTTTCTTATTAATAATTTTATTCAACATTAAACTGAAGATTAAATTGATGATTACATTTAATTAACATGCATTAAATTGATCAAAAGTGACAGTAAAGACCTTTACATTGTTATACAATATTTCGAATAAATAGTAAACACTGTTCTTTTGAACCTTTTCCAAGAAAATATTAAGTTGCACAACTGTTTTCCACATTGATAATAATAAGAAAAGCAACAAATCAGCATATTAGAATGATTTCTGAAGGATCATGTGACACTGAAGACTGGAGTAATAATGCTGAAAATTCATATTTGCCATAAGAGGAATGAATACATTTCAAAATATATTAATATAGAAAACAGTTATTTTAAATTGTTATATAATATTTTAATCTTAACAACCCCATATTTTTGAACGGTAGTGTAATTCCCTACAAAGCACTGAAATTCTGAATTTACTTGATCATTCATATATATAAATAGGATATATATGTTTTATCATGTAATTCAAACTCACCATCATCCGTAAAGTCATCATCAGTATATTGATGATAAGTCTGTGAATAAATAGAAACAAAATAAAATAAATATATATTTTTAATATTTAATTTAATTTAACTTATTTTCTGAATACTTACAGAAAAACTCAATATAATATACAGTATGTGACAAACCTCTTTACTAAGGGCCGGATGAATTAATCTAGGGTCAGCAAATGGACTGCAGTGGAAAGAAAAAATGTAGCATAATATTAATTTGTATGCAGTATTCAGACATAACGATAATCTAAGGCATTGTCTGTCCTGATTTAATCTAGCCTACATATTGAAAATCTATATATTGAAAATCCACCCAAAATACATGTTGATGGCATTTTCTGTGAAAATAAAGGCCATTACTGTGGAGGTGTGCTGAGCTCCTCCTTTTCATGCTCTTTGTCCTCGTCTACTATGTCATTCAGGAAAGGGTTGGTTTTATGGGCTAAGTTAAAAAAAGAAAGAGTACATATACAGTAATCAGTTCTGACATACAAAAAACTTCTTGATTCAAATCTAGAAGCAAAGTAGTTCGTATTCACTTAACAGTGAAATGTAGTTTTACGGTTACAGCAATGAAGAGCAATGCAGAGCATGTTGACTCAAATGACTCAGAGTCCAGAAAGTTTGAAATGTCCAGACAGGTGTGGTGTGTGTACTCAAAGATAAAATTCTTCTTAACAGCATCAGCTCAATAAGGAAGGCATGAACTCCTACATACCTGCTGTTTTCTTCCATCTCATGGAGGTCCGTACCACTGCGGTGACATCCGTCTGCAGCCCATATCGCTTGACCCTGAGCTCTTCAAACCACTCACCTGTTAATGTCTTCAGCTTTTGAAGGTCAGGAACTGACTGCCTCAGTGTCCTGGTATGACAGAAAAAGCAAAGACAGGATTCCAAACAGTGAAAAGTGTGCAAAAATCATTATAACATACACTCACCGGCCACTTTATTAGGTACCCCATGCTAGTAACGGGTTGGACCCCCTTTTGCCTTCAGAACTGCCTCAATTCTTCGTGGCATAGATTCAACAAGGTGCTGGAAGCATTCCTCAGGGAGTTTGGTCCATATTGACATGATGGCATCACACAGTTGCCGCAGATTTGTCGGCTGCACATCCATGATGCGAATCTCCCGTTCCACCACATCCCAAAGATGCTCTATTGGGTTGAGATCTGGTGACTGTGGAGGCCATTTTAGTACAGTGAACTCATTGTCATGTTCAAGAAACCAATTTGAAATGATTAGAGCTTTGTGACATGGTGGAAGTAGCCATCAGAGGATGGGTACATGGTGGCCATAAAGGGATGGACATGGTCAGAAACAATGCTCAGGTAGGCCGTGGCATTTAAACGATGCCCAATTGGCACTAAGGGGCCTAAAGTGTGCCAGGAAAACATCCCCCACACCATTACACCACCACCACCAGCCTGCACAGTGGTAACAAGGCATGATGGTTCCATGTTCTCATTCTGTTTACGCCAAATTCTGACTCTAACATCTGAATGTCTCAACAGAAATCGAGACTCATCAGACCAGGCAACATTTTTCCAGTCTTCAACTGTTCAATTTTGGTGAGCTCTTGCAAATTGTAGCCTCTTTTTCCTATTTGTAGTGGAGATGAGTGGTACCCGGTGGAGTCTTCTGCTGTTGTAGCCCATCCGCCTCAAGGTTGTGCGTGTTGTGGCTTCACAAATGCTTTGCTGCATACCTCGGTTGTAACGAGTGGTTATTTCAGTCACTGTTGCCCTTCTATCAGCTCGAACCAGTCTGGCCATTCTCCTCTGACCTCTGGCATCAACAAGGCATTTCCGCCCACAGAACTGCCGCTCACTGGATGTTTTTTCTTTTTCGGACCATTCTCTGTAAACCCTAGAGTAGATTAGCAGTTTCTGAAATACTCAGACCAGCCCTTCTGGCACCAACAATCATGCCACGTTCAAAGTCACTCAAATCAACTTTCTTCCCCATACTGATGCTCGGTTTGAACTGCAGGAGATTGTCTTGACCATGTCTACATGCCTAAATGCACTGAGTTGCCGCCATGTGATCGGCTGCTTAGAAATTAAGTGTTAACGAGCAGTTGGACAGGTGTACCTAATAAAGTGGCCTGTGAGTGTATATTGCAAAATAAAAAAAAATGATTAGTTATTTATCATAAGTTCGTTCAGGGTTCACTAGCATACTTAGTGCTGTATTCGATACAATATGTCACACTAATTTGCAAGACAGACTACATAGCTGGATTGGACTTTCTGACACCGCATTGAACAGGTTTAAATCTTATCTCACAGAATGTTACAAATTTGTCCACTTGGGTACTAATAGATCTGAGACTGTGCCATTACAACTGGGTGTCCCTCAGGGGTCAGTGTCCTACTCGGTTTAGTACCTATATTATTTCTATGCTGACGATGACACCCAGATTTATTTTAGCACTCAGCTTGATTTCACCTCTGCCTCTTCAACTCTCTCTGCTTGTATTTTGAAAATAAAGGCCTGGATGAAACATAACTTTCTTAAATTAAATTGCTCTAAAGCTAAAATGTTGTTAATCGGCACTCCAAATAATGTTAATAAATGTATTAACTTTAAACTTACCGTGGACAATAGCCTAATCTCCCCTTCAGTCATTCACGTCTTGACTTTCACACCTTAACGCCGACACATTACCCCTGTGCTTCTTCAACTACACTGGCTCCCAGGTCAATCATGCATCGTTTTAAAAAAAAAAGGTAATGATTTTAACTGAAAAAGCAGTACATGGGTTGGCTACAGTTCACATTTTGTGAGTTGGTTACACCATCTATACCTTCTCGTTATCTCTATTCTCCTGGTTCTCAATCTCTTCATCTTTGTAAACTCAAAACCATTGGAGGGAGGGCTTTCTTGCATTGCTCCAAATTTATGGAACTTGATTAAGAATTTCTCCTTATTTTGATTGTTTAAAGAAACTTTTCAAAACTTCTCTTCATCCTTTTAGTAGTTTTTAATCTGTAATTATTAATGTGATTATTGTTATATACTATGTATTATTTGTTATTTTGCATTCTATAACATGTTGTAACACAGGGAGTATGAGAAAGTAGCATTACTAATAAAATGTATTATTATTACTATTATTATTATACTTAAGTAAGCACACTTTTTTCAGAGACCCACTGTCAATGTTATTTTCACTAAATATGGGTCAACCGGTGCTCACACTTTGTTTATCATAACAACAAGTTGCAGTATGGCATCAAAATATTTACAATTTCAATGTCCCACCATGCCAAGGCCTATACTGACATCAAACTTAGCAATCTTTCAAGAAAGTATTTGAACTGTGTACTCAAGTACACAGTACTGTGTACTTTCTGTGTACTCAAGCGCTTGAAGTACACAGAAAAGCGCTATATAAATGTAACGAATTATTATTTTTAACTGTAATTTTGTCTTAATTACCAACATTTTTAGATATATAAAAATGCCAACATTCAAATTAATAAATAAGTGAATACACAAATTGTTTACAATTATTAAATAATAATAAAAAAAACATTACATTTAACAATTCAATTTTATAAAAATAAACAAATTAAATTAGGAAAAAGAATAACAGTGAATTCCTAAAAACTTTTATGGGGGATAACCATGAGGATAACAGGAAAATACATCATCATTGTTTTGGGTTCAATAGTAGCATGCGTACTTGTACTTGTACGCTAAAGAAAAAAAATCAATCTTCACTCAGAGATTGCTATTACAAAGAAACGGCAATTAGCACATTGCATTAAACATAGAAAAACAAAATAGATTAAATTAAAAGTAGGAAAAAAATAGTATTTTTTGTAAACAAACTCTAATAATCTTTGTTTTATTTACAACTTAGGAAAATATTTGTTTTACAGTGTACAATAAGACAAGGAAAGGTCTTGCAGTGTAGATCAATCAAACAACCAGTTCTTACCTGACTCGTCCACTCTCCAGTCGCTTTAAATCTTCATCTCTCAGAAGCACTTGTCGGATGGCTGCCTCTTCCTCAGCAGACAGAAAGCTCAAGTCAATCAATTCCGATGCACTTTTTGATTGTTTCATCCTGTTCAATAAAAACAAACGCTTTCCAGCAACCGAGCACTTTCCCCCAAGGTAAGCTAGCTGCAAACCACCGCGTTTTCCTCGAATCAGAAATCTGTCAACCCACTTTCAATCCGTATGAAATCGTGCCTGTACAGGTAAACAGCTTCCGTGTGCTCGAGGAAGAGAGTTACTGCACTTACTTTTAACGCGTGTCACAGTTATTCACATTCACACGGTGTAAAAAAAAGCTAAGGCACGATGTGACGTCATATGTCAACATTTAGTTTGAGAATAGAGTTAATGTTTCCCTACTATGTCCTTCAGGAGCAACCTAGATCCCTAAACCAGAACAAATACAGAGGTGAAAATGTATTTATTTATTTTATTTATTACATTTTCATATTTAATAAATAGTCTCTATAGATAGGCTATTGGTTTTGTTATTGTTATGCGATCCACATAAAGGGTAAATATAGGCCTGTTTTAATCTTATGATTATGAGCTCGACTAAAAAAACACATGACACACACACACACATTATATATAAACACAAACTTTTATGTCAGATAATCGATTTAGGCTAAATAAAAACAAATTGGCATGAACCATTAGCCTATAATGAATAAAAATAAAAATACCTTTTTGTTCCTTTTTCCTCATCCAGACCTTAAATTATTAAGCAATATGAAGTCAGGTTTGTGTTGACACGCCTAATTCAAGTTCCAACGTGCTTTTCTGCAGTAAAATCATGTTTAAAATGACAGGCCAAATAAGAGGAAGTAGATGGGTTGAAGAAGCCTTTCGACGTCAAGTAGAATCATGGTGAGATTATATCATCTTTCTTCTGATGATAATGTTTCTGGTTTCCTGTTTGATTCAGGAGACTGTGTGAGTTTGCATGGGGGAGATGATAGACAAATTAATAAATGCTTTGCTAGTTTGAAGGGTATTTTGAAAAGACAACAAAGAGTTTTAGAGCTCAAAATGTATCTAGGATCTTTTATAGGTGTGCATTAGCAGTTGACTTTGGTGTGTTGCTGAAAGCACAATGTTGACCCACACCACACCTTTTAGATACATCTTTTGCTGGCCATTACACAGCTAATGAAAGCTCAGAAGCCCGAAAAAATCCCTTACTTTTTACTTATTGAAATGGGTTGGGTGTAGTAATCATCAGTCTATGGTAAAAACATATCACTCAAACTCCAGTAGGTGGCAGTAAATACTCAACAAAAGCACTTATGGACTCAGTAAAGACTTGAGGTTTCATTGATAAATCAAATGCTATGTCTGCAGATAACCAAAGAGCCAACGGGGACATTTTTTTGTAGTCGCCATGAGGAAAACAGCTTATAAATCATACTAAGTGATGTTTTTAGAAAATATAAAAATGCAGAAAGTTTTCTGTGATGGTAGGTTACAATTTGTACAGTATAAAAATCATTATGTCTATGTAAAGTCCCCATATAACATGAAAGCCCAACGTGTGTGAGCTTAACAGATTTAGATCAAATGCATAATAAATCACATAATTATAAAAGAACAAAAAATATTTTAAGAAAATCAAAGAAATTATATTAAAGAGAATATATTCAATATACATTAGAATATAATGCAATAGATGCTGGATAAAATAATAGTATTGCGTATGTACACACACAACTAAACAAATTTAATTTAATAAAATTAGACAAATTAAAAAATATATATACTTCATAAACATTATACCAGAGTATGTTATCATATGTTATATTATATTATATAGAATATATGAACACATTTATTTAATTCAATTATAATAAAAAAAATACAATAAAGAGAATATACTCCATATACACTACACCAGAGTATTATATTATATTAATTACATTATATAAAATGTGTGTACATACATACAGTAGATAGGTATAGATCAAATGCATAATAAATCACATTATTAAAAATATAACAACTAATTATTTTAATAAAATTAAATACAAATTATAATTATGAGAATATATTTAGTATTCAATACAATATAATGCAATGTAATGTAATATGAAAGATGGATTTTGGATAATATAATAATATTGCCTATGAATACATACAATTAATTATATAAAATAAAGAAATTACAGTAAAGAGAATATACTCCATATACACAGAGTATTATATTATATTATGTTATACACACAACTAACCATGCTAAAATGAGCAAATTAACACTAACTACTACAGTTGTTGGTATGCCTTAGTTCGTGCTATTATTTGTTTTCAGGCCCCTTTGTATTTATATCACGTATCTGCAGCAGAAAAGCAGTGTGTGTGTGTGAGTGAGGAAACCGTTCTGCTCTGACGTCATTTACAACTCTCTCTCCTCGCTCTGCATCAGCGTGTGCGTGTATATGATGATGATGCTCGAATGTTACATCGTAGCGCTCAGTTCAATGTCATGCGTTTCCCGCCATTGATGGCAGGCTGGCTGATTTAGACCAATGATAACCGCGTCTGTCATCAATCGCTCATTTCAGACCATAAGAACATTGACTGTGTAGTGACTAGTGAATCAGGTGAACAGTACTTTCATCTGCAAACGGTGATCGACCCGTATAGAGAAACGGAAACAGGATGATGGGTTTACATGAATTCATATGGATGACAGGTATACTGATGGCGCAGGATCAGGATTTTTGATCGTGACAGTGGGTGAAGATGGCGACTGGGACGGGCTGGCAGCCGCCGTACAGTATCAATCCTCCCGCTGCTGCTGCTTCTGGATCAGGCACCAGTCCATCCTCCACATCCAGCTATTTACTCTACGAATCTGCACTGACCATGGACTACTCTCAAGATCTGCACCTGAAGATGAGTAAAAAAATAGCACAACTCACTAAGGTTGGTATGATCGCATTGCTCATATTTTAGGGAAATCGTCTGAATTTTTCATCGTCTCAACTTTAACATGAATACACTGTATTCTGCATGATGTTTAATCCTTATCCCCCATAGAGCTGATGCCCTACATATTGCAATTTTTAACCGCAGTGTTTTTTCCTCCCCCTGCAAAAATCTGTTTATAATCCCAGACAAGATTCGTAAACTCCATTTAATCTATGATTCATTTCTACAAAACAACGTCTTTAATGCTGAGATAAACAGTCTAGTTTATTAACATCCACGTTTATCAATACTGCGCGTGCCTTGTTTATTTTTACTTCTGATTTCATTTCATTCTTCATGCCCAACACGAGAGCAATCTTTGCTTTAAATTCAAGACATTGCGTGTTTTCCATTCACTGTTTTTGTTTTGGGTACCATACCTCAATGATGTATGCGTGAAAACAACAAAATTAACCTCTTATTTTCCCTTTCAGATGATTTTCATTTATTCTTTCGATGTAAACAAAATCATGCATTTCACAGAAATGTGACTTCATTCTAGTAATGTTGTTTGTGTTTGGGTTCTTTTTTAACACAGCAAAAACATGTACTGTTTACTATGCTATACTCTTTACACTAATAAGATAAGGTTAGCATGTGAAAATTGGATTTATTTATGAGACCCCATAGAAGTAATGTAAGGAGGACTTTTGGAGCATGTTATGAAGTTGAAATTGCATGTGTTTATATCATACCTTTCTCTTAATTCATGCAGTATAAACATGATAATTAAATGTTAGGTATGTTTTCGAGCTATTGAAATGCCCTCAGGGTTTTTTTTTTTTTTTTAAGACTCCAGTCAGACCATTTTAAATGCACATGATCTAACCCATGTGGTATTTTTAAGAAAACTAAATCCAAAGCTTTGTTTAGGAAAATCATAGTTTTATGTGTTTTGAACTGACAGGGAATGTATTATACACTGACTAATTAGACTAGGTAGGGCTACTTTGGATTACCACAGTTGTGCAGAATAGGGAGTCCTTACAGTATGTTAATAACACGGATGCGACAAAGGAATCAATTAAAGATGAAAAGGAGAACAGCAGCGAGCGAGCAGCAAGTGAAGACGGCTTGCTTTGATGTGCAACTCTTTAAGCACATGGAAAGAGGGTCATAATTATGAAATGCTTGGCTGGAAAAACTGTTGGCACCTAAAAGGAAAACAGACTCTTGTTTATGAAATTAAGAGTTTGGTCTAAATCAGAAAGAGTTTTATAGAAATACAAGGAATGTGATTTGGTTTACAGGAGCTCTGAGGACTCTGAACATATATTATGCATACAATAAGGTACATAACAAAAACCTCAAGTCTAAAAAATAAACATTTAAAGGTGCTCTATGTAACTTTTAGCGGCCTCTAGTGGTGATGTTTCAGATTGCAACCAAATTTTACAAAAGCGCTCGTGCTCGAACTCATAGACAATACCGTCTATTACGCAAATATCTCGGCGAATACTAGACGGATTCGGCGAACACCGAGCTCGTTGGGACCATCTAGTCGAGATGAAAAGAACCATATAAGGTCCATAGTTTTTGGTGGTGTTTTCGCGGAGATATTAGCAGAAAAACCATCGGGCGCGCTGCAAAATTGCGGACGCCGGTGACGTCACGATCTCAGAAGAAAATCGCTCGTATCTCTGGAACGCAAAGACCCAGAGAGCTCAAATTCGGGGGAGGAGGTCCCAGGGGAACCCTTGCCCGAACGCTAGAGTGGCGGGCCTCGGGGATGCCCCCTACCGGATCGCCGTTCGCTGGGACCCCCGATTTCGAACGGCTATAACTCGGGGAGCCGGGCGAGTTGGACCTCGGGGGTGGGCTCGTTCGAAAGGCCCCGTCCAGCACTACGAACGATTAGAGTCTTGGGAATATTGATCAAAGATTGACTGAGATATAAGCCGAAAAACGTGCACCTTTAACCGGACGTAACTCCCTGACCGTCTACTATAGACTGTATATAAGGAGAGAGGCTCGGGAGCGCGCATGCACGTCACATCCGTTGGATTTCGCGGTAAATCCGACCCGGAGACTTCACATAGAAATAGGAATACTGGTCTTCAGAGGTAATAGCAAAACTCGACAAGTGGATCATTTTAATGTGTGATTACAACGCCTTCACACACAGGCAATAAAAAAAGGATTCATTTTAGTAGAAAAGTTACATAGAGCACCTTTAAATATTTGTACAGGAATGTGCAAATTGGATATAGTGCATTGAAAAAGCATAAATATGAATATATATCCTGATTGGAGTGCAGTTT